CAGCCGCCGATGACGCGTGCCGCCTACGTTATGAGGCAAACTGTGCGATAACGTACGACAATCTATAGAGCACATTTAGCATATAAAACATATATGCTTCGTGCATTCTTGCGTCGTCAACGAATGCTGCCACACGTGAATGAGCCCTGGTAATTAATGTTGCAATAGTAAAACTATCGTTATGGATTGTATGATATGTTAACCGATAACCGTTGTATATACGCGCAGTCTGTTCTTCAGCTTACGATGTCGTTGATTCATTCATTGATGGCCGAAGTCAGGGTAGTTTGTGCCAAATGAGCAATTGCAGAACGGGGTTGCAGGACCTCAGAAAAGTCAGGCGGCTTGCTAGATCACATTTGTGATTGCGATTAGGGTGACAATAACGTTCTAACGTTCGTGAAGAGAGTGAGACATGCATATATACAAGACAAGATGAAAACATAATTGCTGGACATAAACTAGGAGTGAATATTTAGCGCGTTTAATATATCACAGTTCGCTTCACGGGCGAGGCTACCTCTTTGACAATGACCGTGTTGAATTAACACGAAGCTCTGTCTACCTACCTAAAGAGTGATCGCATGTATTGATACATTAAAGCAAGCGGATATCAGCTTCGGCAATGTATAGAATGGCGCGAATAGATACTATTTAAATATGCGTTCATACATTTTAGTCGGGACTCACGTACAAGATTGCAATATGCTTTATGTCACTTTTACGTGAATAATGTACACTATAGAGTGTTTTTCATGCAAATACTTGGATACTCCACTAAAAGGGTTTGCTTCTATCAGTTAGATAAACAGAATCGCGGTAGAAACACACAAAGCTTTCCCTTTTTGCGGCTAGTTTTATAGGCACAATTATTGAAGAAGTTTGCGATGATGCCAGTCTCATAAAAAGTGTAGGGCATTACATGGAACAGAGCTGACCGAAAAAGGCGATGAGGTTCTGGTTGAAAAGTAAGTAGAGAATCCGATCGCGAACATATATAAATACATATAGAAAGCAGAAAAAGACACACACACTCACGCACAAGATTGTCATAATGAACACAAATCGAACGTCGACATAAAAATTAAATAATTAGCTTTACCTTCACAGCTTCACACATGGCTGCTTTGTCCTTTTCGTTTCTCAATAAAACGGATTTCTCATCACGACTGAATCATCCTGAAATAAGATCTACTATGGTTAATAATTGTTTAGCGCGTTTTTTTCGGATGTCTGGCCATACATGACTACGATCAAAAAGCCGAAATCTCATTTTAATATCTTCTCTATGGTTATATAATTCAAAAGCCAGAAACGTTTCTACAGTTACAATCTAGAGCCATGCACACATGGTCGGTCTTAGAGCTTAGCTACCTAACTGAACACAGACTACGTTGGCCTATGTATAGTATATGTAGCAAAGATAATCTGAATCAAACTAGTAGCCTTTAATTGTTCTTGTAGGGTTGCTTAGCGTTGAAACACGTTGTTCATATATCTTATGCTCTCGTCAAGCAAGTACAGAGTGAACTAAGTGGAACATTGTCTCCGGTCCAAAGTATTACCGTGGTGTCGGTATAGCGCATTTTCTTGTTTAACTTTGCTTCTTCTGTGAAACATTTCCCTGTTTCACGGGTCAGACGCTCAAGCTTGCCAGATCCCAAAGGTGGCAACGGCGCTGCTACACAACCTGAGAGACTTGAGCCGCCGCCGCCGTTGTTGTTGCGGCCAGCCGTCTCATATCTCAAACTTCCCACGCCATATAACAACGGGGTAGCGTACACAATGATTAGATAGACGGGCATACGCACTTTCAACCGTTCAACGACAGACAAGGGAAAACCATATCTGTGGAAACAAGCGAAATTTCGAGCCGCTTTCCTCGTCGAAACGTAATGATAATTCTCTCGAGTATTACTATTAGTAACCGCCAGAACTGCAACAGCCGAAAGCGGTAAAATGCAGACCGCAACTATATAATAGAGACGGCTTCTTCTTATAAAAATGCATATAGACTACTAGATATCCTCGAGTGTGTTGCTACGCCATAATATATACAGATTGAAGATTCTCAGGGAGGCTCGTAAAATTCCCTTCACTGACTTTAGTACGACAAGAAACAACCTGCTACTTATTCATGCAGCACGAAGCACCGTCAAACGTCATGGCGGCAATACGCTCAGCTAATTAAAAGATGACCAGCATAACGTACTGTGACATATCGGAGCCAGTTTTATCGATAGTTAGGTTACAAATATCGCTTTCTAAAGATACATTTTAATATCATCAACACAACCACCATAAGACTAAATGCCGTAATTATATTTACCTATGCGCGTAAACTGATCGTGCTTTTGTCGTGCTTTGTAACGACAAACAAACGCAAATGACGTATCCACGTGAGACTCTTTTATCAATCTTACGGCAGAATTAATGGCGCAATCTTAAAGAGCAGACGGAAATCTTTGCACGGGAAGCTGCTTCACTGGTTAGGCATTAAGTCCCCTTCAGAGGGGCAATGAGGTCAATTTGCATCCACAGGTTAAGCCAAACTCTAAAACGCTTACGGAATAAAGACGCCGACTTTCTCTTGACAGTGTGACAAAATAAACATAAACCAAGTTGTGACTTTTACTAAAATTTTGTGCAAAATTCAAAAACTTGCACTGATTTACTATGAGCAGCCCTGTTTCGTTACCTATCATGAAGCTATATTGCGTCGTGAAAACGAACCGCTGCCCACAAATTAGAAATCTAGAACACGGCATATATTAATAGTACTATCGTAGATAATCTACATTCTGATATAACAACGACGAATCGACAGCGAGTGTTCTATGGGGCTGGCTGTCTATTTCGCTACTGTCGGTACTAGAGTTAATCAAAGCATCACGTATAGGTGCAGCTGATGCTGCTGCCACACATAAAATAGAATTTCATAAACAGAAAAACAACCCGCTATTGGGGCGCAGCATACTTATACTATACGTTCGGTGAAACACTTCGACTATGGCCTTTAATGACCATTGCAAGTTAAGAGAAAATAGAAGAAGTTGATCTATGTATCAGAAACGAGCGATTTACGAGAACGCAACCCATATATAGATTATTCTAAGTCATAAAGTTACGGCAGTATGCAATGTTTTCAAGTATCTGTAAAAGCAGGGATTTCATCACTTTCGATGACGGCGTTAATGAGCACGGGCACATTCGGTAGAATATTGGCTCAAATGTAGGTGAAGCAAACGACTTTATCGACTGCAAAACAGATATTTAAGCACATAATTAATTAACGGACTAGGTACACCAGCGGAACGTACTGCCTAAATTTATGTCTTGCGAACGTTCAGGTATTTCAGGATAGGTGTGTGCATTTTGTAAACGTATTGAAAGGGATCAAGCTAGAATCAACGGGCAGAAGTTTGATGAAATTTATTTTTAAATATAATGCCCATTCGTAAATTTAGTTGAAAAAAAAGGCCGAATTTACGCTGGCTAAAATCATTGTAAATCCGAACATTCTGACATGGTCTTTCGATAGGTGCCAGGTGGCGTTCATTGATTCTGTGATAGCAACGTTAAGTTCAGACTCGAAATTCAATCAGACTAAAAATACAATTTTAAGATACTCTATCTGCTGACGTGGAATCTACGAAGCAGGACATACTATAAAGACAGCAGACAAGTAGAATTCAAATGTTCAGACGAAAAAAAGGACGACTGGGAACTAAGAAAACTATATGCTCACAGACAGCAATTTATTTAATTTTAAAGGAGACACTAGGGAAGACACGCCCTCTATGGCGCATGTTGTCTTTTTAATATAGCTAAAATGAAGCTGAACCAAGCTCGAACCGCATCCGATGTACATATCGTTATAAACAGCACATAAAGGACAGCGCAACAGTGTACAGGCTATTGTGCACATTATTGGAGCAAGGAATATCTGTGATCGCCTAGTTGGTGTAACTCTTTCTACAAATACAACAAGAATCCATTGTTTTTTTCGAAAACCTATAACTGAGATCAACAGATAAAGATAGTTGTTTATAAATCATTAAAAAAATCCTTTCATAAAATCATTAAAAATGATCCATTGTGATCTCGATAGTTTCAAAATTTGGACAGCGTTGCTGCTACAGAGAATTAAGGATGAAGCACCGGAAACTACTTCAACGAGTGGATCCTACGCTAGGGTAGGATACAGGCCAGTCTTATGACACATAAAACTTTCTCCTCGAAAGGCAGAATCCATAGGATAAGGTATTAAATTTTGACTGAGAATAAAGTAAAGAATAAAGAGAACGAGGTAATAAATAGACGAATAACAATACTAATTTATGTAGTAGACTCACAATAGACGTAACCAGATTTTCAAAAAGTAAATATATGTAGATCACAATATATCTCGGACTTTACGATCTCTATCCGGCTCTGTTCATTACTTGCTGGCGAATTTCAACAGCAGCAATGACCGTTTAATTGACTGCTTCCAAAAGGCGCCAAGTTTTTTTGGGTTAGGATTTGAATTAGCTATTTGATATTGACGTTTCACTGATACAGTTTGATATATTTATTGGTAGTTTTTAAATAAATTCATTGGAATAAGTAGAACACAATTGATCTTCAAAAAATGAAAAATTAATACATTTTCTTTTATTTCAATATATTTAATTTCAACAAAAAACATTTATATTTTTAGCTGAAGTTATTCATTTTAAAAGATTATGATTACGTGAAAAAAAGCCAAGATCTTTTGGATATAAATAAAATTTGGATGTAAAAAAAGGACACTTTATAGTTGGAATACCAGTTAAATTAGTCTTTCAAAATTTGTTTTTCTTTTGCCCGATGATTTTTTTTTTATTCTAATCCATTATATATACATATAACTACTCAAATGATAACTGCAAAACATTGGCATCAATTGAACAGGAACGAGCACGATCCTATTTCGAATGCCAGGCCCATCGCGACACCTCAGATACCCAACATGCTATTCTTATGTGAAGACAAAAACAAATGGGAAGAAAGCATTTCGTAAATTAACATTTTTATTACGGTCGACACACCTATCTAAATAATTAAAGGCTCTTCTAGGCCGCCGTCTGTCTACGAGGATCCTACCCTTTGTGTATAGAAAAGGCGTCAGCTTCTGTCGGGCAGCCATGTCAGCTGAACGCCTGAAAAGCACTAACAGGCAAAGCTAGGAATAAACATACTCCAACAATAATTTTTTAAATGGACTTTGCAAGCGAGCGTTTGTCGATCCGTAAAATATGAGTTATCAAAGGAACGTATTCAACACAAAGCAAGGAGGCGGCTAAACAGCTGAAGTAGAATCCTTAAATTACATTTTCTATTTTGTCGCAACAGACATTTTGATTGATGCTTGTGAACGAGAGACGAGCATACGCATGCGTCCTACGTAACTATTACAGCTCAAAAACGCCTACTTCGTTGTCAATGATGTAGGCGCGATCCATAGCCAGCGTATGATAGCAACCGCGAAGGTTCGACCAAACTTTGACCACGAAAATCAGGTAAACGAACATTGCTCTTTAAGCTAAAGGTGATCGCCATTACGCACGATAATTCACCTTGCTTATCGTCAAACTGTACGTTAACTATTAAATACAGTCAACTAAGACATATTTTTTTCGAAAGCCTGTGAGACTTTTTCCATTAGTTCAAAAGTCTTCGTGTCCCGCAGATAGAATATGTTTCTAGAAACACTGCCATCTTACTAAGTTTATTTTGTAACTTACACGATACTGCATTATCTTGTACAATGAAATAAAACCTAATTTTGTAATTTTGAAACAGCGGTCTCTTCTACATGTGCCACCGCAAGCCATAGGTTAGAAAGTACGTTATTGTGTCCCAAGTTCGCATTTTTCAAAACAAGCCAAGAAATCAAAATAAAATTATTTAACCTATTTGGAAAGTTTCTATATATTTTTCATTGCGGCTTACTGCTGGCTGTTTTGATAGACAAACAGGCTCACGAAATTCGATCAGTTCAGGTGCCGGAATGGCAAGGTAGATTACGCCTGATCACAATCAATATTATTGTAATTTCCATCGGGATTCGATTGCTTTTAACCGCGTTGTCTGTAATATGTCTCTGGCACGAGCATTTGAGACCGAATACTAGTTATAATCCTTACAAATGCTACCCATAGACGTGAACTAATATCCTCCGCAACATGAAGCGTAACACCTTTAATTTTATATTAAATATAATATTTATTATTATTTAATAGTAATTTTTTTTAATGTTTGTTTGCGATTATGCGTCTTCAGCAGAAATCAGAGAAAAAATAAATCACCTGCCTGAGTAGTACTTTGACGCTCCATACGTAAACACTATACGTATTTCATTCTACCATTGGTCTGTTGTATACATAGGCACTACAACATCACGAAGAAAAGCACACAGATTTCCTTGATTCTTGTTAACAGTAACATAGCATATATTTTCTGTTCTTTTGATTATCGTAATTAACGCGTCGTTGATCATATTTACAGACGGAAGTGATTAAATTCATATATATATGTATATATAAATAAATGAATCGTAGCATGACAACATGAACAAAAGTAGAATCAATGAGATAGAGTTTTTGTAAGCTTTTTTGTCGCGTTATTTGTGCAACTTGTATCAACAACGAGGCTCCTATAATTACGTTTCTAATTGCTCTTTTGGACTTGCTGGCTAATAAGGTCTGCGCTGTGGCCACTCTTCAAAGGCGGCATGACCACATGGCTCCGATATTCTATAGAATCTCTCAGCTGTCCTGAAATTTGGCAAACTTTTGGAAGCTCGCATAGCAGACGCACGTTTCAATTTCCGGATTACTAAATCAGCCATGACTAAGTGCACTTCATCAAAAGTTCTAATTCTTTAGACAATACTTGATTTGAGGGAGTCGGCCGACGTCTCAGCGGCTACCCAGGCGATTTAGTCCTCCGGTGGTAGCAATTAAATAAGAATTCAATTCATTTAAGAGCTCCTCCTTGCTTACTTAGGGTCTAATTAATTTCCGTACCAGATGAGAGGTACGTCACAATTACGCTTTCAACGTTTGCTAAAAAAGCACATTTCATGGCTAACAACCCTGCATTTAAAGCGGGATGCGTTTATGGTAGAAAAATGTGCTATTATACGTATACTCGTTAATCCACGGTTGTTGGGCTGCAGTAGTAGGACAAACAATGTGATATTAATATATGTGACCATAACAGTTAGTACTTCGCGCACGTTTATATTATATAACAGAACAATCAAAACGTTTTTTAAATGAAACAAGAAAGGTATGGTTACAGGGTAACTCACTAGAACAGCGGTCCTGCGTGTAAAATCTAGAAGGTCAACTAGCGAAAAAGAACGTGACTGTTGTTTGAAATGAAATAAATAAAAATTAACTGGCAGTTTTATAAAATGAGAAAAGTTAAAAACATCCATTAATATATTGTTGTTTACTGTTCCAAGTAACATAGCATCAATGGGTTACTGCCAATACAGTGTCGAGTATTGTACTATGAAGACTTTGATTTGCAGCCGTTGCACGCTAGCGGGATTGAATAGAGGTTGTTGTCAGGTCAGCATTATTCGAAGAAGGGACCCACGCGTCAACCGCTGCAAGTGTAGAAAACGACCCAACGAATGAACAGTCAAAAAATATTTAGAAAGTTTTTAATATTCAATATGACTTCGTGTCGCATCACTCGCACCACACGAAACAAAGTCATCAGGTTATATTTATCTGTGTATCAGGTAGGGTTTGATTCAACATTGTCAGTCTGATTGAAGAATGCTTTGTTGTTAATTTGTGTAAAAAATATACACCTGGCTTGGACGTAGGCGTATGTCAGTATGCGTCCAAAACCAAAGCGCTTTGCATAATTTAGAATACACATTGGACGCATAGAGAACGTGAATTATCATATTCTGAGATCTTCAATAAGCCTCTGAAGTAAAAAGTATAATGAACACGTATATGAAGAGCACCGATTAAGAGTTCTCTATCTAACGAAAAAGAACAATCGTTCACTATGTAATCCTGAATCAGTTAAGCCTGATTATGTGTAGACGATGCAGATTCTTACCGATCCGCGGCGGGACCTTCTTTTCGTCATCGATTACATATTTAGCGGCGCAGAATTTCATGTAGAGGTTGTACGAGATGCAACTGCTCACGCACATAAAGAGCATGTAGTAACTATAGCACAAAGGGAATACTAGAGCTTGCTCCTGAAACTAGAAAGAATCATTAGAGTTAGGGTTATGCATGGCTCTTTCGTGTGTTGCATTGATGTTGCCAGCAAGACCTCCATTCGATAGTGGTATATGACAAAGGAAAATAGCTCGCATCTGGAGCGTCACTCGGACAGCGTACCATTAAGTAGTGCAAACAAAGCGTTATACCTAAATGCCATTTATCCATAATGTTTTGAAGCCAATTTCAAGCCAGCAGAGAGCTTCGGAGAAAGGATTCACCTGAATCATCTTTTTCATAGCGAGCCACATCTACGCCCTTCTTCACAACATGGACTTTCAGTGATCAGATAGGGAAGCTAAGAAGCTTACTGAGTTAGGAAATAGCGGTCTCCTAGATCCTTTAAAAAATACCTAATATTTGGCTGTCCCTGATTATACATGCGACGATTTGTTGCCATGGTACCATTCACCCGGTGACGGTTAAGCCTTTCTAATTTAGTTGATTTAGCAATAAAGTAAATTTCAGATGCGGCTCTTCAAAAATAATACTACATATGTTATTCCCAGCAGCATATATTGTCTAGGGACAATATATGCTGCTGGGAATGTTCAGTTAACAATTCATTCAAAAACAATTTATCACAGGGTGTAGTAGTACATGGGCGCTGACGTTATATTTGACAAGCTCGAAAATTTTAAGGAAAGAGAAGCTTTTGAGACTTACTTTGTCGATCGTCAGTGTAATCACAGTAATGGCCATACCAACATTCTGAATTCCACTCTCAATCGAAATCGTTCGACAAGCCTTATTCGACCGTTTTGTCACCATTGCAAATAGGTAGCCCACGAGTAAGCCTGTTGGTCGAGAGGAAAAGCAAATGAGCGACGAAAGACACAGCTCTGGTCCGCACATACTTTTTAAGGCGATGCTGAATCATATATGGGATATTATTCGGGGTCCTACGCGAGACAAAATCGCATTTGTTATTTAGAATTAAGAATCGGTTATACGGACATCGGCAACAAAAAGGCCAACGATTGACGCTCTGCAACCCGAAAAGTTTGAACAGTGGAAAAAAACGCACGATAATGAACTGAAGCTGAAAATTTTCATATGCTACTTGTAACACACCTGCGATAAGGAGAACGGAGACGGCAACAAAGAGTTGAGAAGGAACGGCAACGAATATATTTGGGAAAATGATGAAAATCATTACTTGCGAAACTCCAATCATGGCAAAGGCAGCCATTGAGCCCAACTGTGAACAAGCGTTGTTGAGAACATTAGTCATCGAACATTTGCACGCAAAACAAACGAAAAAATATGGATAGATGAATAAATATAAATCACACCTCGCCAGGACGTTTGATTTATATTTATTAATTCACGACAGGATTTCGCAAACCATGCTAGGGATGTTTTGCAATCGGTAGCAGATGCGGTCCTGCTTTAGCCAATTTGCTAGTAAGGGGAATTACTAGCGCTAATATTATTACGTTCTAAAACGGAGCCTCCCACCTTGATGATACGCCTAAAGCGCCTTGTTGCAAACGTAAGCGAGTCTTAATTTTCTTCGATAGAAAATGAGAAACATTGATTTGAAATTCACTTTGATAATACCGAACTTCGAGTTTATCACACCAACATTTCGTTGGCCAAACAACGAACGGTTTGGCTACTACAGGAAATATCACCGAAAATGTTTTTGCCGTAAACGTTCACTTATGGTAGTAGCTATTTACGGCTAGCTGAAATATTATAATTTCTTGTAGGCATTTCGTAGACCCTCACCAAGTTTAATCTATGATTCTCGATACGTCATGTATATATGTTCGTGCGATAACGCCATTTTTGTCCCAAAGGGAAAAAGAAAGCTCACTGAACGTGATCATCAAGCTGACAGGGGTCGTCTATTTAATCTTCCCTCAGACCGGAATTTAGCCATACTGATGTCCAAGCAGAGTCAAGTAGCACAGAGGGAGAAATTAGAGGCAAATACAAACTGCAACGAAACTCCAATAGATAATATTAATTTGTAAACTTTCTTTGAAAGTTCTCAGCACCGATGCTTCACCAGCTATTTTTTGCCGGCGGCATCGCCAAACCATTGGTATTTCCTGGTAACTGAGCTGAGCGAACGATCACGTATCACAAAAAGCTGTAATCATAAAAGCAGGCAAAGCAATCCGAGGTAATGCTCCTCATTACAACACGATTTTCTTAAATTTAATCAAGAGAATTTAAGCAGCACTTGCGGAGCGAAACTTTCTTTTGTTCAAGATAATAGAACTTACGAACAATTCATCTGCTGCCCCTAACTGTTTTATGTATGTGGTCATAAGCTGTATATTCCTATAATATATATGCCAAAGCACAAATGGAGCATAGGTGGTCTCCTGAAAAAAAGGAATATCTAGAATGATTGGAGGTATTATCTTGAATCAAGAAGAACTTTATCCATGTGTCAGGTCACAGGTGAATAGCTCACTTGCTTTAGATTTGTGTAGTTTAGGTATGGATAAGTTGAGAATTATGAAACGACAAAAGCTGAACGGCCCACTCACCTTCGTAATGTAGGGCGCCACCTTAGGGAACTTGTAGAAGATTAGCATACCCATACCCACTGGGGCAGTAATATATGCCAAGGACCGTACCATCTTAACGTACGGAATATTTATGCCAGAGCTGGTCTCCAAAGTACGACCGTAAAGCCACATATTAAATGGCATCATGACCATCGCGACAACTGTTGAACATACTGTCATCGAGATGCTGAGTTGAGTGAGATGATTTGAAATTCGAAATTAATAACAATGGTTAGTTACCGAGAGAATTGACGTTGATCAACTCGTCCGAGAATATCCGAACCAATATCTGCTAGTTAGAAAGTTGCAGTTAGACAACGTTCACACCTAAATAAATGATTAGAATTATACTAGGCAAAAATAATATAAATGAAAAAATAAATAACATAAAATAATAAAATATAATACAAAAATAGGGGACAATTAAGCTTGACGAACGCACAGCACGATCTAGTTGCCAGTCGTACTTACAAAATATGGAGCCTGTCTACCGTATCATTGTTATGGACGGCCTAAATAGCAAGAAGAGTCTCTTGAAAAATATGGTATTAAGTGCTCAAAATTAACTGTTAATCTGTTACTGGTAAATAAAAATTATTCTACCATATGGTATGTTATATGCCATTAGCGGTCGAAGTACTACCTGAAACGATCTGGCAACAAGAAGTGCGCTTATTGCGTTTTTAGACTAGAAGCCTCCTGCAATTAAATACATAAACCGACCGTCTGAACATTTAGGCGAAGAGTCAAAGAAAAGTCAATATGCTCCATTGTCAGTATTCTATAACGGTTTCGGTAGTAAATGTTTAGTAGGTTCAGAATTGCGACCTATAGAAATTTTCGACTCGGTCTGTCGAATGTCAATTTCAACATACTTACGAGCATTTTATGAATTCAATTTCAGTACAAGAATCGCTATCAGAAATACCCACCTGAGGGGTACGTCTCCGTCCAGGTAGTAGGTAAAAATATTGGACGTAGTGCCCGAGGGGGAGCAGGAGAGGATGAGCATTCCAAGTGCAAAATAACCCTGCAGGTTAAAAGTTTTCATCAGGACAAACGACGTAGCCGGTAAAAGGAAGAACTGCGAAAACAATCCTGTTAACACTGACCATGGTCGGGACAGATGGTGCATCAGCTGCAAAACCAAAAAAGGGAAATGTTATTTGATCACAGTATGAGACCTCTTTTTCAAAGGTCCGACAAGTTCATTTTGCTAAAGAAGGAAAGAGGTGAAACGCTGGCGATGTTTGGACTTTACAATGCGTTTTTAGGTAATAGTTTTACAACGTTTATCTCTTTATGTATTCGATATGCTTCAAGCGCCCAGTTTTGCGACTGCCAATATAATAATGCATACTCGAGGCACTATTTTTATCACTAGGAAAGTCCTGAAAAGGTCTACCGTATTTGACATTACTGCCAACTAATACGTACTAGCCCTTTCAAATATAACGCTTGTTCGATTTGAAGATCATTACACAGCTACCATCATTAAGAAATTCAGCCATTTCTCTTCTAAGAAATTTTCTTATGTAAACGTCGTTGCCGTATATAATTTGTGCTTTTTTTTATAGTTGTAGTGAAAGTTTACTATCGCTCTCTTTCGAAATAATCTCTCTACACAGAACTACATGTCCACAAGCAATTATACGTACGGCTGTTGATCAGCAGAATGTCAGCTAATGCCAATGGTGAGACCTAATGCACTGAACGGCATATAAGGATAGAAATATGTACGCAAAGGACAAGTCCTTAATCTACTTTAATAGCAAGTTTATCACTCGGAGCGCCGTCTCCTAGTTGTTTGGCAGTCGTAGTCGTTTTATTTCGTTAGTTAGATGCCCGGGGGCGCTGTCCAAGTAGCACATTAGTCCTCTACGGTTGACGTTTACGGAATGACAAGACGGGGTCGCGTTTCGCGACCGACCATACAGCAGCAAAGCACTTATCGACAGAGCCAGTCGAATCCTCGTCTGAGCGTTGTGCACCTGTTGCTTTGTGGTAGTTCCTTGATGAAGGGCATGTTATTAAGTAGCGACTTGATGTTTGCGGCCTCTTGATTGTATGTTCGACATTAGTTGCCAAAGATGATCATCGTGCTCAGCTGTAACAAGGCGATCCTTCTTAACTATTAATGATCCGATTATTCCAGGCAGACTGGTGCAATTCACGTATCCAAATGGGATCGAACCCGTGACGCGGTGGCATTCCATCGACTGGGTTAAGGGAGCAACGTCAATTGTTTCATAATCAGAAAATTGTCTGAATTTTGAGATTTAGGTTCGGTACCTCATTACGACGTGAGTTGCAATTCTTGAGTATGACGTCTATCCAGCTGTTACATATAGTTCAAGTATTGTCAAATAGCGCGGGGGAAACGGCAAAGAAGTTAATTGATATTTCATAGCTCAATTAGAAAATACGATAAAAAAGTTATATAGTTCGTAAAAATACTCTCAAGTTAAATAAAACGGTTAGATAATACATTAGTATTCGCTTCGAGAGTCCGCTTCGAATTCACTGAGCTCCATTTAAATGTAACGTCGACTATTTAGAGACAAAAAAAAAAGATAGAAAATTCTAGAATTGGCTACCATAAAATATATAAAAATATTTATTTGCAGAATAAAAAAATGCATCGTTCCGCAATTACCTCCTTCCAACGAATTGTGCAGCCCATTGAAAACATGATGATTATAAGAATGCTCAGAACGGAATTGTCATAATATCTTTTTAGCCAATGCCGTTCACCGACCCAGGTAGGGTCCGGGTTGAGTGTGGCATTCATGTGGCCGAATATATTTCCGCTGTATGGGGATCGTGATAGTGGTTGATTCCGGACAAAGTCGGTTTATCGTACTTCTGATTATAAGCTTGGCGGAACGAGGCACGAGGGCCGCGCCCTTAATCACGAAATATCGCCAACAACAGACCGAAAGTAAACGGTAATCGTACACTGAAGGATCTGCATTGACCTGGTTCTTTATGCTTCTGTAAATTAACAACGAGAGCACCGTTACGAGAATGAATAATACCTGTATCTATCTACCTGCTATTTTATCGTAAACAGAATGTTGCGTACACTTATAAGGACACATTCTCTGTACGATGAGGACTAAGCGATGCACACGTTACGAATTTACTACGAGCTAACGCCAAACAGAGCGAACGTTTTTGGAAGACGTGATCCTTAAACAGCATACTAAAAACTCAGATTATATATCTACTAACCGATATAAAGCTGTATGCATTTAAATTTGTATTAATCTCTGAATGGAACGAGCGAAATCAAAGGCTGTCTTGTAGGAATTCCAAATGCTATTTTCAGATTGCACCTGTTCAGGTCCCGTACCTCATGAAGCCATCTTAGACGTATCGGTGTTCATGAATTTGAATTCACGATGGCTTTCTTCGATGAACAAAAACAAGCATAGTTTATCTATTAAAATCTGAATGTTACAGGGAGTGAAGTCGTAGTACCGTGGCTTCTGCAGTCGCTTGGGACTGACCCATGACCCATTTTGACAACGTGACTCCATTAGCGTCCATATCATATACCAAACAGATAGATAGATGGTATTTCTATTGCAAGCCGAATATGAAATGAGCCATACATCGATTCATTTCCATCAACAATTCTCTACAAGGTGTTAATTTAAACAAATCCTGTCGCTAAAGGAACTAGAAATCGCTCGTATAAGTGCCGCTATGAAACACGTACACACGCTCCGTGTTGTGGAAAGCACGTATTTTAATGCTCGGATTTTACGCATGTTTTTCGTAAGGGTTTTACAAGTCATGCTTCACAAGAAGGCATTTTAGCTAACGAGTCGCTAAGGAGCCAAGCCTTTTTCGCTTCTTTAATACGTCCATCATTATATATATATATACAAAGTGACTTTGTTGAACACCGAGCCATTCCCATGCGAAGCTGCACAATATGTCTTGTTCAGCCCTATGTCCTACCAAACGGTCGAAAAGCAGGAAAATATGCTATAGATTATTGTCTATTTAGTTTCTACTCGGGAAAGCTGAAGTCAAAAGCTACTTACACCATTGGCTATTCTCTCCGAAGCGTTAATAACAATCTATAATAGTGGTGTCGTAGCATTGGCCTAACATGTCATCCATTATGTACCAAAGCCTATCGTAGAATGAATGTCACTATCAAATTATTGGGAATTCTTTATTGGAAGAGCTCGTGGCCAGGCACCGAGTGGCGTCAAACCATACGTTCTCGTAAATGCAATACAATACAAATGTGTTCGTTCGTAGGCCATTGGTCCAATATTACGTACAATGGCACCATAAGATCATTAAGGCGAGATAGAGTCAAGACCTTTTCGTTCTGAACAACGCGCTCGACTAGAGTTTAATTAAGCACGGCGATCGAACGTTTGAAGTCCAGAAAGGAAATTTTTCATTGTCTGATCACGTTTCATGCCTGAATTCTGGGTGAATACTTTTGGCAAGTAGTAGTTTTAGTTGTACGCCACGGTGTCCCTTATGACTTATGCCGTATTTGCAGTTACTGACAGAATTGCAATGAACAAGTGAAGATTTTTGTTTACACACGGCCATACATTTTCAAGTCTAGACACATTTTGCCTCGATCATAAGGTAACTCTTCAATCACAGTCTGTCAACAATTGCTGCTTAATATGTCCTTTTTTTGCTTATTATTCAATAATAAGTATATAATAAGGATAATTAAAAAAGCCAATAACCAAGATAACACTGGATACTGTTCCAAGCATGTGCCTCAAAACACGATCGTCATTTCAACTTAAATATTTCCGCGTGCTGTAACAATTTTATGTTTATAGAATTAACTGCAACGTTGGCTGTCTGGAGACACGCAAGCATAACGTACTGGATTCAATCTCCAACTTCGTTCCGAAACATTCTGTCCTTGACTTATATCAAACGCGCAGTTTTAAAAAGATATCTTTAGAACAAACGGGCTTATTTCAATGACTTTTTTTTCTAATGACGGGTGCCACCAGAACTTGCTTACCGTGTCTTACGTACTTCACGAACGTCGCGCAAGTGGAGTTTTTACTTCGGATATCATAAAGAACCGTCTATATATAAACTGGGCAGTATTTCAGAATTCAAATTAAGCCAGCACTATATTATAAAGCAAGATTTGAAATGAACGCCATATAAAGTATAAATGGAGTTGTTTGCTGATGTATATTCTAATAACAACTTGTTTGAGGGATCGTTGTTCTGCCTCATACAAAAAACGCACTTTTCTATCAATCGAAAGCGTTTGGAGTACAATTGCACACGTCTTTTAGAAGACCACATTTCTTTGCGGCCCGCATATAATTAATTTATTAGTATTACGTTAGGCAGACCTCTGTTTGGGTTAAACTCACTACGGCAGATCTATTCTGCATACAGAAATGGTACGCTATGGGGTAAGAATTGAAAAAACCTTTTTAGTGGTCTGGAACTGGAACGTAGTCCGCTGGCTTACGACTGAAATTACATTCTAATTTTTACTTGCATTTGCAGTGTCGTCTTAAAGTCGCTGCGTATTTTATCGTATTACAGGTGCGGAGCGGGGTGCGACACTATTCTATCATATCTCTATATTACCTAATAATGATGTACGCTTTTGGTATTTGAAGGTACCTTCAATAGAAAACGAACTTGCGTACCTGTCCCTTGTAGTCGGACTAATCCAGATGTTAGTATACTGAGAGCATAGCAAAACGCGTAACTCACTCGCGCACAATACCCAATCGACGCGTGCTTATCTTGCCCATCCTTCAATATAGCCCAGGCGTCACGTTAAGTACGCGTTCACGGCCGAGACGGCAATAGGAGAGCGTTCGGGAGAGGAGGGAAACTGCTGACAGAGTTTTGCTGTCTTCACTCGTTTGTCGTTTGTCATTTGTCATCATGTTATAGAACCAATCAGCCAATACGTTGGTCTAATCTTATGAAAGAATGATCTGAGGGTCGGAGAAAAATAAGATATCATCATCATTTTTATAACCTCACATGAAAATGCGGTCTGCTTATGAGCACTAATTATACAGATAGTCACTCAAGTGGCCTTTTAGCCCATGAAACTCGAAAGTTGAAGTATGAATTGTAAATGATCTGGCTTGGTTCGATTTTTCAATGCTTATGTGAATATATAATTGTGTATACTGCGTGTATATAATGCGAACAGATCAATAATACTCTGGCTCCGTCCTGCACGAACGGATGCGTAGAAACTGATGAGAAGCCTTACTTCGCATCGTTTTGCCCTACAATGCAAACCCGGACCAATAGTCTCTTCATGCTGATATTATCGTAACGACTTCTAATACGAGACCTATAATAAAGTTTGCTCAATCCGAGAAACGTACCTCGACTATTCGGTCGCCAAGCAAACATAGTACCGATAGACCTTCTACTATACCGATATTTTACATTTCAAAGGCTGTTTAAAGGATACCTATGTTCCTACTATTTAGACCGCGCTAGAACTCAACTTTGACTAACCGATACATACATCGGGGCATCTTCAGTGCATCGAGAGTATCCTGTACAGGCAGCCGGATCATCCCGTTAGATTATCCTTCTACACTGCCGTTGCTACTGCGAGACTTGGATCGTTATGTGTATGACATTTAAACAGTGGTTGCAAATCGTCTAATGAGGAGGGGTAATTAGAAGAAAGCAATGACTTGTTTCAGCTTTGAAATAAAGTTTAATAGCGCCCATCATCGTCGACACATCGTTGAGAGCTTATAAAGATTTTATGTAGTTCTAAGTGCAGAAACAAGTAGATCTCTTATATTTGTTTGTTACCCCTTTTTACTGCAGAGTCTTCTTAGACCGATTTTAAACACTGATTATCTCTTATATTAATTATAATGCGCCCGAAATCACTTCAAACCTATATAAGGATTTGTATTTACATTGGAGTGAAGAAAGTTGCTGGCTTAAGGTAACACGTGTTTACAGGATAGAATCATCAGGAATATAGGAATAGACTAGCAATGTACGGGTAGCGTCAAATACAGTGACTGTTTGGCGGTAGGCTATCTTTGATGTTTTTGGCAGCCTTCCGTTAGCTAACGTAAAAAATATATTTTTTCTGGATAGGAACGAGCAACATCAGTAATTCGACTTTGTTTCGCCCGTTCTTTTGAGCGATAGTCCTTATGATTAGCATCAAACGGAAATAAAACACAATCACTGATGAAAAATATACAAAATAAACTAGTCTTGGGGTAAGCGTGAGGTAAAATATATATGATCGCATCAACGTATTAGATAAATAACGGCTAACCGCTATCTCTGCTAATAGCGTTCGTTTCCTAGAAGTCTTGACACATATTGATATGAATATGATTTTTCTGAGTCGGTGAGTATAAATTTTGAATATATCTTAGACAAGGATTACTTTGGGTTTCTAGTTTGTACAACAAGGCACTAGTCTGAAAATGCGTTCAAGGTAAACTAGGCGTTTAATTCACAATGTTTATAAAAAAAAAAAAAAAAACTCTTCCATCCTTCAACTGTAGCATGACAAACAGTCGTCAAATTGACGAATCAGTGATCTAACACCAACTTAGTCAGCATTTCAGTCATAAACGATAAAGTAGATATTTTGGGGCAAAATAATCTTAGAAAAACATATTTAGGCCAACAAGCAATTTTACTAACGTTTAGTTTCTAGGTGGCTTGAGGACAATAATCTAAAAATACAATCCACGAGCTTCTCCAC